AGTGAGTTCCAAATTTCTTTTGTCGTTTTACAATTTGCAATTCTATTGAAATCATTTTTGTTCAATGCACAATAAAGATTATTTATGGCTTTAGCATTGCATTGAATTAATCTATGGTCATTTGCATTCCATTCTTTCACTTCTTTAGGAGCCATTGCCTTTTTTACTTCTTTCATGGGAATGAATGGTCCATTAACTTTGGCAAGCCAAATTCTATAGTCAATGGATTGAAGAAAGTCTATTATTATACTTTTCCAATAGCTATAGTTGGTTCTATAAAAAATTAGAGGTCTATCAATACATTATCCTTCCAGGTATGTGAATATGCCATTGTTGGCAATGACCGTACTCTAAGACGGTTAAGTCTTTTTAATTAGAGTTAGGTTCTGATACTAATTATTGCCTAAGTATTGACTCTAGAGGGGAGGGGGTGAATAGAGTCCATGGCAACCAATGGCTAATTTTAGGTTTTGCAAAACCTTCTAACAATTATGCAATAATCAATATATAGGCATAAACAATTAATAGTATAAATGTAAAGGAGATAAGGGAAGACAGATTTGCAAACATTTACATGGCGATTTTAGCGAGGTTCGGAAACTCCTACTCCTCGACTCAAGACCCCTTTTGAGACTTCCCAATCCACTATAGAACCTCCTTACGGGCGGAGAGCAAACCTTGATTAAAAACAACTCCTTCTTTCTCCTTGCTAAGAGACAATCTCTTTTAGTCTTCCTTTAGGTTACACTAACCCTTACAAATATGAAGTTAGTTTGTTTCTTCTTCCTTGGGCCACACCAGCCCTTACAAATTGAAGATTAAATTTGTTGCATACAAATATATCTCTCAAAGATTGATATACAAATATTAGCTCACAACTAGAGTATAGATGAATAAATTGAAGCTCAAAACTCTATGAATGATATGGGATGAGAGTGTATGATATGAATGAAGAATAAAAGTTTTTATGATGCTAAAAGATGTCTCTCAAGTATAACAACATTAAATCCCGAAGTCCCCTTACTCTATTTATATAATTTCTGTAGTTAATTCAAAAATAGAGCTGTTGTGTACGCGGTTCAAGGCAAAATAGCCGTTCAGATTTGAATCTGCGCAAGTTCGGTCGACCGAAATGAAACATCATTTTGTTTCAGTCGTCCGAAATGACTTGAGGTTGCCTTTCACCTTTTTATTTCGGTAGGCTGAAATAGGTTATGCTTTTGTTTCGGTCGACCGAAATAGCTTGAGTCCTTGTTGCATAGCCACTATCTAGACCGGTCGTGTGATTCAAATTGCCTATGCATTTCGGTCTGCCGAAATGAAGCTGCTACTTTAGAATTTTTGTTCTAAATTAATAGATGAGACAGTTTATCTGCAGGACATCTGCACATACCTTATTTCCATTGAAAATATTTAAGTAAATGTCTTTATAGTACTTTAATTTTATTGTAAATAAGGAAGTACCCCCCATTTGGATTCAATAAAAATACTAAAAAATTGAAATCTAACTAAATCCAAATGTAAAAATTCAGTTTTAGTACAAATTTGGATTTCCGACAGTTTGGTAAAAATGAATCCTCATGTGACCAATGTAGACTTGGTCAAAAATTCTGATAAAATCAGTTTAGGCTAGTTGAAGTATAAATAGTTATTACCAGGTAAAATTATTTTGAAATAATCATTATTTCAAAAATCTATTTTTCACACTTAGCTAAAAACACAGTTTTTCATGACGCGCATTCTGGGGTCCTAATGTCCGTTACCAACTCATGGTAATGAAGGATTCTCATGCCTTAATTGTTGACCAATATCAATTATATGATTGATGTGCATGGTCTTAGCATTTCTAGCACAAGTGATGAGTTCTTTCAAAGCTTATGTAAGCTTGAACTAACTCACTCTTTAGCAATGACTTCATGTGCAATTATATATGAATGAAGTGCATAGTTTATTGCTAATATATATGGGAACATATGAATGATGATATGATATGCATGGTCCTATAGAGATGAGCTTTGGTATGTCTAGAACCAAATGTGTGTAGTGTGGCTAAGTTTGAATTTGTAAAGTGCCACTAGTACCTCTAACTACTAATATAGCTAGGGTGAGTAGGGATAGTCCCAAGGGAAAATGAGTTATATTGATATGAAAACAATGTTGGGTTAGTAGGTCGAGTGATTAAAAGGTGGTTTGATTGGTTAATTAAACTACAATTTTAAATTAAATGAATACAATGTAGAACAACTAAAGTAAATAAAGTATAGAGAAATAAGACAGAGAGGTCTTGGACTTTGAGGTCACCGCTAACCATCACCTACTTAGACACTCAATGTGCAATAAATGAGGGGGATTGTATGTTGCAATACTAGTATATGTGATTGATTGAATCAACAAGCATGGATAGCTAATTAAGTATACGTTGTCTAGACAAACTAATGAATAGCACAATATATCAAATTAAGCCATTGTTCCTTCCTCTAAGTTCATAATCAAAACATATCAACAAGTTAGAGAAATATACTACTTGCATTCATAAGTATGGAACATCAAATAACAAACATGGATTATCCTCTTATTTAAAAAGGTAAGGCATCTACACTACAACTAAGCTAGGGACATGAAAATTAAACTAATTAAATTAAAGAAGAGGCACAATTCATCAAGAAATGAGCATGAACCATCAAACAAGCCACAAGAATATTCTATTAGAGCACCATGCTTTGACCATCACTAGATTTATGATATTAACACACATAGACATGCATCAATGTAACAAAATCTAGAGATAAACACATGAACATCTATTTTAGCATATATAGACATAGTATAAAATGATCAATTGGAAGTATTAAACTACACAAATCAAGATAGAAACAAGATTTATATATATATCAAAGGTCAAAACAAGAATTACAACACAAATCCCCTCAAAATACAAAGCATCAAGGTCTAGGAAGCATGCTTAGGGCTAACTCTAGCCCCAAGAAAATGTTTAGCCACTCATTGATGTAGTCATTTAATCTCAAAGGCTATCTCCATGGTAGGAATGATCTTATTCTCCTTGATGGAAAGATGAGTGGAAGAACTCCCAAATGGTATGTATTTCTCCAATCTCTAGACTCCTCCCACCTCTCTTGTGTATGGTTCCTTCCTCTATGATTGTATATGATTCTCCAAGATTGTATATGTGTAAAATGGCTCAAAATCCTTATAGAGGTAGCTCAAGTGTCACACCTAATGGTCATACCTCGTGCACTAGGACCTCCAAATGATTGCACCACGAGCACAGCTTTTAATAAGTTGGAACTCTATTTTTCTTGCACTTGAGGGAGTTCGATTGATCAAAGTATGGCTAGATCAATCGAACCTTAGCGGCGCCTTTTTGGAATAATGACAAATCTTAGATATTTTCGGGATATTTTGGGAAAAGGAAAAAAGTGGTAGGTGGGGATAAGATCAAAGAAGTTAGATCGATCGAAGAAAAGTTGGATCAATCAAAGATGGAAATTTCCTGAGGATAAGGACAAGAGGCTCGATCCATCTTGGCATGGCTAGATTGATCACTGTGAGATCGATCGAAGCTTGGTCTGATCGATCGAAGATGCTGCTTTCCACCACTTTGCTTCCACTTTACTCTTTTTTTCCATTTAGCTTGAGATTGCTTCTTTTATGCTCTAATTTGGCTGAATTAACTTATTTAGGGATAAGTGACTGAAAAGAGAGATAACATGAAATTAGACTAAATCGGAAAAATACGATAGGATAAGGTACTAGAATATCTAAGCTTAAGGGGTTTAAATGCACACTTTTCAACGCTAATCACACCCCCAAACTTAAATATTGCTAGTCCCTAGTACGGAACTACAAAGTAATGGAATGAAATGAACAACTATACAATTATGAACTAGAAAGCAATAAATGGAAAATGCCACTTTCATAGGGAATATGATTGCATTTAGCATATGCAACAAGCCTTTTAAACCCCTAGGTTACCCCTAGTGGACGAGTGAAGTCTCGTGAGGGTTTCCAGAAATGATACCCACAAACATTAAGCTCTTTCTCACTAAAGAGACACCAATATTGCAAACAAATATTGGGAGAAAACTACCTTAAGTATACAATTTTTCAACCATTTTCAAGCAATCTCCCAAAATCTCAACATCAAACAAGCAAGTATGGTCTTTCACACATCAAGAAAATGATCATGCAAATCAAAACAACTCTAGAATCATTTTTAAGTGAACTGGCATCAAATATGTTACTATCTAAGCCAACTAAAGAAATGATCACATCCTTACCCTCAAACTAACACACAAATCTAGTCCCGATCATCAAAATAAAGAGTGAACCTTTTATTAAAACTTTATTCATCTAGGTGCACTTATTCTTTCACTTGATTTTTTTTACAATCCTAGAGGATCAAAGATGGAAGTCTGGTGCAATGTGGTGATCTATTAAGCTTTCTAGCGATCCATGAAGTTGAGTGTTAGGTCAATAACTCCCAAACTAGACGACTTTAGGGTATTAGGGTGAAGATGCCAAAATCGGCATGGGTCGGACATGGTCCAGATCATCATAAACGGGTTGAAAGCGGGTTAAACAAATGGAGTTGGGCCAAACAAAGTTCTCATCACTAGGCCCAATTACAGGGAGAAAGCAATTGTGAGGCCCAATTTAATAACGAAAAGAACTAAACGCATGGCAAAGAGAAACCCAATTGTAGAGTCCAACAGGAGGGGTAAATTTATAAGCTACTAGAACGCTTGTAGCATTCTATTAATAGACAGATAATAGAAAGGAAAATGGGAGAATTCTGGAAGTGTAAAGATACTATGTCAAAATAGAGAGAGAGTTTTCTTGCATCTTCAATTGGCACCGTCTATGGGAAACGATAAAGATTGAGTCGATCAAGATTGATTCAATCTAGATTAGTTCATGAAGAAAAAACTTGATCTCTGAAAGTTGAATCCAGATTGGTGTGATCGGCATTTAACTTGCAGAGTCTCGATTCTGGCTGATGGCGAGAAATTCGCGTTGGATCTACGTAGTTGTGATTTGTTTACTGAAGCTAGATCTGACGAATTCAAGGCAGAAGAGATTCAAATCTGGCTAAAGGAGATCAGAATTTAGCTGGTTCGACTCTAGATCGAGTACGTTCACATCAGCAAAGCTCAGATCTGATCCGGAACTTGCAAATAATGACTTTCCTCCGATCAGGAATGATGATAGGAGGAGAGAGCTCAAATCCGATGGAAAATGACCAGCAGTCGAAGCTTGATGAACTGATGAGCATGATCGAGGTCCTGAGAAGAGAGAATTGGGAGCTGGAATGGAGCGTCGAGAAGCTCCGGTCATTCCACAGCCACCTCCAGCAGGGGAGAAAGTTTTGCAGTCCAATGTCATTCATCAAAATGATTAAGAAGGAGACAATCACATGGATCTTCGTCGTGAGGAGATCGTGCCAAGTGATTTACCGCTAAATGTTCATCAAATGGAAGATCGAGAGGGATCTATCTATTTGGATCCGCATCGCGAGTGGATCATGCGAGAAGAAGCCGCAACGTTTGATCCTAATCAAGGAAGATTGAGGCATGAGGAAGCCATGGAGTTTGGTCATCATAGAGCTACATCACCGTGGCAGAGGGAGTTCATGGAGGAAAGATCGCTTGATCCACCCTACCGACCTTTAATGGCTATGTATGATTACAAGAGTTCAGAGGGGGGGATCTGAAGATCAGAAGATTCCCTCGCGATTTTTAAGGGAAAATGAAGTCCTTCGTTCATTAGCACGAACGGTTGCCTCTCCATTCACTGACGAGATCTTAAACGCTTCGAATTCGAGGAAATTTTCCATGCCAATATTCATTCTGTTTGACAGAAAGACTGATCCAACCGATCACATTTACCACATTCAGCTTAAAATGGCTCTGAACACAGAGAATGATCCTCTGATGTGTAAGTGCTTCCCTACAAGTTTGGTAGGGTCAGGGCTCAATTAGTTCAAGAATTTGGCCCAAGGCTCAATTGCTAGCTTTCAAGATTTGTGTGACAAGTTCATAAGCCAGTATTACAGGAATAAGCACCCGGCCAAAGATGTTTCAACCCTCTTTACAATGAAGCAGCACGAAGATGAGAAGCTCCAAGCTTTCCTCACCAGGTTCAACCTTGTCAAGAGCATGGTAATGGAGTGTCATCCATCCACGACGGTTCAAGCATTCAAGTTAGCCATGAACCAAGGGACACCATTTTACACAAGCCTGGTGGTGAATACACCGAAGACCATGGATGAACTGAATGAAAGAGCTGACAGATTCATACGCCTGAAAGAAGAGGAGGCAGCTAATGCACAAAAGACATCGATTATATAAATAGAGGACAAGTCAAAGGCCAAGATCCAGCAGAAGTAAGCTCTGGCGCAACGTTAAACTTCCTGGAAGACAGAAAAGAGGCCAAGGGAAGAAGAACTGGTCATACCACTCAAGGTCACCTTGACTAGGTTGTTCCAAGAAAATAAAGATAAGTTTCGCTCTCCCTTACCAATAAGACAACCTCTCGAATAGAGGGATCAGTCCAAACATTGTGTTTTTCATAGTGATTTCAGTCACCTAACTAATGAATGCAGGAACCTAAGGAGGCAAGTGAAGATGCTGATATCCAGGGGGAGTTCACTGGATATGTCCAAGGGCCACCAATGGAGCAAAACCGACTGGCTGAACAGGTTAAAAAAAATTAGAAGTCGAGCCATAACGCCCAACTCGTTCGAATTATAAATGCAATTCATGGCTGACCTGAACAATCCAAAGAGTCAGAAGAGTTACTTCAAACGCGTCTCCGCCAAGCCTAGATGAAGAGGATAATAGGCAGTATAAACACCTTGCACCAACAGAATGCCTCAATACATATAAAGTTTTACGAAACAGACTTATTGCGAGTTCAGATTCCTCACGAAGATCCTTTGGTCATTAGTTTGATAGTGGTAGATTGCCTAGTGCAGAGGGTGCTGATTGACTCAGGAAGTAGTGCGAACGTCATGCCACGGGTCATGTTCAATCGGCTCGAGATCAAGCCTGAGGAACTTAAACCTACTGGAAATCCGTTGTTAAGATTCGATGGAAAGCGAGTAGAACTGATCGGCATGGTGCTTGTCCGAGCTGCCGAGAGGGAACTAGTTGAAAGCTTTGTGGTAGTTGAGATCCATTCGTCCGACAATCTATTGATAGGGAGAGGCTAGATACATAGAGTCTAGGGGGTCCCATCGACCTGCAACAGGTAATGAGGTGTTTGACCCCGGATGGGAATAAGGTAACTAATATCCATGGGGACCAGGTTGCAGCCAAAGAATGTTACTCGGTAACCCTGAAAGCCGCTAGGAAGGGAAGAGCTCCCGTTTGCACTGCTAGCCCGAGATAACAATTACAGGAACCTCCCCCCAACACGAACGGGGAGGAGGAGCCTCTGGCATTGACCGAGGAACCTCTGGTTGAAGTGCAAATTGATCATTTGAGGGCAGACCAAACCACACGAGTAGGCTTAGGGCTTGCTGAGGAAGAAAAATGCCAATTAGTTGATTTCCTTTCTTAGAACGCGGATGTATTCGCTTGGAGCCATTCGAACATGCCAGGGATTGACCCCTTTATCTCTTGTCACTCCCTTAACGTGGATCCGAACGTCAAACTTGTACGGCAGAAGCAGAGGAGGTTCGCCCCGAAGCACAACCAAATTATTGCCAATGAGATTGATAGGTTGTTAGAAGCTGGGTTCATTAGAGAGGTTCAATATCTGTCCTGGCTATCAAACGTAGTTGTTGTGTAGAAGAAGAATGGGAAGTGGAGAGTTTGCATTGACTTCACCAACCTAACAAAGCTTACCCGAAGGATAGTTTTCCACTTCTAAAGATTGATCAGATGGTGGATGCTACAACTGGGTACGAACGACTAACCTTTCTGGATGCCTATTTAGGCTACAATCAAATCCCTATGGATCCGAACGATTAGGAAAAGACATCTTTTGTTACTGAATGAGGGATCTACTATTACAAGGTCATGTCATTCGGATTGAAGAATGCTGGAGCCACGTACCAAAGGTTGGTTAGCAAGATTTTGAAGAATCAAATGAATAAGACTGTAGAGGCTTATATCGATGATATGGTGGTAAAAAACAGAAAGAAGCACCACTATTTGCAACACTTGCAAGAGGTGTTCGAAGTACTGAGGAGGTACGGAATGAAGTTGAACCCGACTAAGTGCTTGTTCGGTGTGGGTTCCGGGCAATTCCTTGGCCACGTGTTCAATAACAGAGGGATTGAAGTTAGCTTAATGATCGGTATAACAATTATACATCAACCTTTGCAATTGCACAAATCATTGTGAAATAGGGCTATTGGTCGGGTAAGTTGAACCATTAGGACTGCTAGTTTATGGCAACTAAGGTTTTTAAATTCGGTGTAAATAGAGGTTTGTTGGTTTGTCACTAAACTTAGGAATTTAAAATGCATAAAACAATGACTTGTAAGAACTTTAAAGAAAAGAAATTCAGAAATAGAGGACTAGGGAAATGAATCCACTCCAACCCTTTACCATGCTAGAAAAAGACTAAATTGGGGATAAACAATATATATAATGGTCAAGAATTATATAGCAACCTATGGTTACCATATAATCGTCAAGAAGTTCATTAAATCAAAAACAAGAATGATCCATCAAAAGTTCATATAATTGAACTACCTAAACTAGGGTGTAGTATCAAGCACACTCTTTTAAGCAAAAGATCATCAAGCCCTTAATCAAATGGTAAAGCACATGAAGTTAGGAATCAAGCATAAACCATCAAAGGGGTTACCTAAGCAATGGACTATCAAGGCTCTCTATCAACATGCCATTAAAACCATTCCACAACCTTATTTCCATTGTCACCATGAAAATGCAAGCATTATGATTAAGATAAGAAATCATCTAAGCAAGATAATTGACTTAAAACAATCATTAATATACATTAGAATCCATTACAACAAGTAATATGCTCTAGATTATGGAAAGACCAAAACTATACATCATTATCCCCAAAATAGAAATTAATCTAGAACATGCTTACAAAGGAAGGCTTCATCACCTCCCTAGATAAAGGTTTAGTTACCCAAAGGAACAAGGAATGAAGGAGAAGAAGCATATCCACCCTCCATTTTCGTGCTCAAGCAAGCTAGCACTCCAAAACCTCCAAAAACACTACTTTCTCTCTCTAAAACTTAGCTAAAATTTGAGATGCATGATAAGTCATGCTTTGCCCCTTCTTATCCACCCAAAATCTACTCTCTATCCCCCCAATCCTGAGCTCCAACCACCCTAGATGAATTAGAACCACAAAAATTGCATAGGAGACCAAAATCAGCTTGAAATCTGGAGCAGGTAAGATGTCATCTGCAGATCCGCGGGCGCCCGCAGGCTTTCATGGCTCGAGGGAAGCTACTAGCATAAACGGCGGGCGCCTGCGGGAGCTCGGCGGGCGCCTACGGGAGCTCGGCGGGGGCCCGCGAACCTGTGGCGGGGCCCCACGAAACAAAGCGGTGAGTTGTGGATTTGGCGGGCGCCCGCGGAGACTTACAACTGTGACACTTCAGCAAAACTTCTCGTGCCACTTAAAGCCAGTCTGTTGCCTCGATTTCCATTATAATCATTATGCCCCGAACTCCACACAAAGAACGACTAAAAAGGCTCAATCCAAAAGATGGCTCCCAGCAACAGCGTACCTCCTGTAACAAGAGATTATCAAAACCGCTTTTATAACCATATTCGGGGAAACTGACCTGAAAGAAGACAAAAATACAAAAATAAAGTTAAACTATACATTAAACTCCACTAATGGACTTAACTAATGCAACTAAGGGCGCTTGAATATGTAATATTTAGCGCTTATCACCCGGCCCAAGCGGAGGCTCTACTAAAAAATGCAGAACCAAGAACAGTCAAGGAAGTGTAAGCTTTCACCGGACGTATAGTGGCACTAAGTCGATTCATTTCAAGTTGTCAAATCGATGCAAACCCTTTTTTGATATAATAAAGAGTTACGAAAAATAATCTTGGGGGGATGAGCAAAGGCAAGCATTGACCAAATTGAAAGAGTATATGTGAAACCCA